TTTCGAGACAAGGTTTTGCTCTTGTTGCCCAGACTGGAGTGCAATGGCGCAATCTTGGCCCACCACAACCCCTGCCTCCCCGGTTCAAGTGATTCTCCTGCCTCACTCAGGCTCCTGAGTAGCTGGGACTGCAGGCCCTTGCCACCACGCCCAGCTGATTTTGTATTTTTAGTAGAGATGTGGTTTCTCCATGTTGGCCAGGCTGGTCTCGAACTCCTGATCTCAGGTGATCTGCCCACCTCGGCCTCCCAAAGTGCTAGGATTATAGGTGTGAGCCGCCGCGCCCAACCCCCGCTTTTTTTTTTTTTGGAAACGTGGCCTAGTTCTGTTGCCCTGGCTGGAGTGCAGTGGTGCGACTATAGCTCACTGCAGCCTCAAACTCCTGGCCTCAAGCGATCCTACTGCCTGGGCTTCCCAGAGTGCTGGCATTACAGGTGTGAGCCCGGCCTTCACTTCTCTGATCCTCTTTGGAAAGTCTGATCATCGAGGGTCTTATTTGCATGGGGTTTAGAGTCTCCAGGAACATTCAGGTACGCCGGCCTAGCTCCGGCCCAGCCCCCTGAGACCCCGCCAGAAAGGGCCCAACCTCCCTTCCCCTGATCTGCTTGGCTGATGTGGTCTCCCACAAACTAACGTTTTCCGTTCAGATATCACAATGGAATCACCCCACACCCCTCAGTGTCCACAAGCCTCAGCCCAGCAAACGGGTACGTGGCCCCAGGAGGAAGGAAGGGTGTGGTGGGAAAATATCTGCCTGGAGGGGAGATAAGGGGACTAGAATGCCAAGGACGCCCCTCTCTGATGTCAGCTTCTCCAGGGAGACAGATCTGGGCTTCTGCTTCTCAGCAGAGGCCGCAGCTGGTAAGTGGGCTATTCACAGCCTCACATGGGGTGGCTCTTGGGGGAGGTGGCCATGATGCCATCTCAGTGCTGGGAAAATGATGGGACCCTACATGCCAAGGAATGGGGATGTCCTTAGGCTCTGCCAACACTGGGCTTGATGCAATTCTTATACTTTTTTTTTTTTTTTTAAAGAGAGTCTCGCTCTGTTGCCAGGCTGGAGTGTAGTGGCAAGATC